GGGGGCTGGGTGCAAATGTCAAAACTATTTCTGCAGTTGTTATTTTGCTGTGGGATACATGCTTTCCCACAGTGGGAACAGTATGTTTTTCAGAATAGGAGCAGTGTGTTGTTTGCTCACCCTTTTCCTTTCCTGCCTTCCTTTGTTTATTAGGCCAATGACCTGAAATCTAAGGTTTCATTCCCCTTTTCTGTTCTCCACATTCACTTTCAGCTGAGATTTTTTCCCTGCACTGTATCCTGGTTTTTGCCTGTAGTGGGAATCCTGCTTCCCTCTTAGGTGTCTTGGATACACACAAGAACTGCTTGGGAATGTAAAACTGGCTTAAATATTTGTCCAAAGGATTGCATCACTTTTAGAACTAAATTGTGCCCAGAGCAGCTGTGGACTCCCAGTTCCTGGCAGTGCCCAAGGCCAGGCTGGGCACTGGGGCAGCCTGGCACAGTGGGAGCTGTCCCTGCCATGGCAGGGGTGGCACTGGGTGGGCTTCAAGGTCCCTCCCAACCCAGGCCATTCTGTGTTTTTATGATTTTCCCTGTTTTTTAGTGGAGAAAATAATAAAAAATTGTATTTAAATAATCAATTGTTATGTTTCCCTTGTGTAAAAAGGGGATAAGGTTGTTCTGCAGACCCTGCAGGTTTGGTGACTCTTGTCTCCATTTCCACCTCATTTTGCAAGTGTTTAAAAATCAGGTGGTTTGATTCCTTCTCTCTGTATCTGTGTGTTTCCTTTGCTCAGAGAAAGCTCCTCTAACCATTTCTGCTCAGGAGGATGTAAAAATAGTGTATTATAGAGCTCTGTATCCTTTTGAATCCAGAAGCCACGACGAGATCACCATCCAGCCTGGAGACATTGTCATGGTAAGCAGGAATTGGGATATTCCTTGGGAAATATCAGCTTCTGCCAGGGCTGCCTTCAGTTTTCTATGGCAGGAAAGAAAACTGCAAACCCCAAAAATCTGGTTGCAGGTGTGTTGGTAGAGAATAATTTCAATTTTTTCAGGGATGTGGTCACTGGGTTGTGTCAAACTCTGAAGCAAGGTTTGCTTGTGGCTCTCTAAGTTTGATTCTCTGGTTAATGGCTGCAGGGATTGAGTGGATATTAATACTAATTAATCATTAGTATGTTCTTAACATGCAGAATGAAAATTCCTGGGGGAATTCTTAAATATTGTTCACTGGGGGAAGTGTATTCCCAACAGTGTTCTACCCACCAAAATTGATTTTAAGAGCTTTTACATTTTAGTAACGGCTTTACAGCTCATTCTGTGGGCAAGAGTGATCACTGTGAGGCAGACTTGCTGGGAAAACAACAATTTTCCCAAAAGCTGTGATTTTAAGAAGCATTTTGCGCATTTTTTAAATAGAGATTTGCAGAGAAAATAACATTTTTCCTCAAAACATGTGGTTCTAGGCAGTTCTGCACATATTTATCCCTGTTCTTGCAGGGAAAATAACATTTTCCCTCAAATGTGTGATTCTAAGG